AGGGCTCTTGGTTCTCTTTGAAGAGAAGAACCAGAATAGTTATTATTATAGAACCCCAAAGGTTATCTTGTGCTTTACTGGTACATAAAAACTGTCAGAGAATGTGGGGGGTGCAATGAAGTGTAATATTTCCAAACTTAAGACATGCTCTCATCAGCAGGTGCCTGGCAACCAAGCAAACCTTTGAATTTTGAAGATGTCCCCTCTGCAGGGGGAGGGAACCCCACCCACTCCCTACAGCAGGGCCCCAGATTGGAACAAGGAAGGACACGTGGGAACTGGAACCAGTGTCGTAGTTTGGCCTTTATTTTAGGATTTTATCCCCAGGTCTAGCATCTATGGAACACGGGGTCAGATGTGGGCAGGTGGATATGCCTTGGGGGGGAGTGGGGGAGGAGAGCTGGGGAGGAGGAGGATTCATAGCAGGAGTGGTGGCCAGAAATGAGGCCAGACAGGAACTTCTCAGCAGCAGAACTGGTTGAGGGTCAGAGTGAGGGAGTGACTGCTCTGATCTGCCCCTTAGTCCTGAGTTATCCAAGGGGGCAGCCAGCAACCAACTGCGGGTATTGAGCGCTGCAAACATGGCTCATCTGAACTGAGATGAGCTGTAAGTGTAAAATACACCCCAAATTTTGAAGCTTTGGTATGAAATAAAATAATGTAAAATATCTCATTAATATTTTTATATTGGCTACATGTCAAGATGACAATATTTGGCATATATCAGGGTAAAGAAAATATATTAAAATGAAGTCCACCTATCTTTTTTTTCTTTTCGGTTTTAAAAAAACAGGGTATTTAAAATACAAAATTACAAATAAAATTATGCTTTCTATTTTTATGGATAGCACTATTTTGGGCCAATTCCTCCTGCCTGGGTGAGTGAATGGGGGACAGAATGACAGAGGGTGAGGCCCCTAAAGAGAAAGGCATTGACTGCCAACTACAGTTGACCCTTGAACAAGGGGGTGGGGGATTAGGAGTGCCAAACTCCCTTGCAGTTGAAAATCCGTGTATAACTTTTGGCTCCCCCAAAACTTGATTACTGTTGATCAGAAGCTTTATGATAACAGTCGATTTACACATAGTTTGTGTGTTGCTTGCATTCTCACAATAAAGTAAGCTAGAGAAAAGAAAATCATAAGGAAGAGAAAATATATTTACTTCATTTATTGGAGAAAATCCCCATATAAGTGGACTGAGCAGTTCACACTTGTGTTATTCAAGGGTCAACTATATTGCCCTTCCCGGCGGCCTGTGCTAGTCTCATGCAAGAAGGATGGGAGGGACTGGAAGCACTCCAGGGAGTGGGCCCCAGAGTTGACTGACTTGGCATTGGGGGGAAGGGCTCCTGAGGGTGGGGAGCAAATGGAATAGGATTATGTTCTTATGGCCGGGCCAGGGGACCTCCTGAGCAGTGGGAGGGTCTGGCTTGCCTCCCCTCCACCTGCCAGGCTGAAAGAGAAAGGGGAGAAAATCCTATTAGGACCTGAGCCATCTTGGGGAAAGCTACGTGGATCACTTTAAGGATTTTTCCAAACAGAAACCTAAAAAAGACCTTGACATCCCTGGAGAAAAGAAAGAAGTAATTGAGGGCCTTCTGGAAACATCTGTAGGGGAAGAGTTGGAAAGTAAGGTGGCTGCTGATAAAGGGAGGGATTTCTCCAGCTCCTGTGTGGGTCGTGCTCTGGGCCTGGCTCACTGTTTGGCACCCTCACTTCCTGCTGGTCATTATTTTAATGACACCTCTCCCATGGGGCTTTTCCTGGCCATTTAACCCATCAAATCAAATTGTTAAGTAGGGATGTTAAAACATTTTATTTGCTACCTTTAGTTCAAACGTGGTATTTTCCCTAATACCTTTTAAAAAAATACTCTTCCTCTCCCACCTCATGACCCTTACCGAGGCCCACAATCCCTGCAGGACCTCTGCGTGCCCTACAGCCATGCCAAAGGCCCACCCGGGGTCTCTGGCGCCCCCAGCCGGACGGGGTCGCAGACACTCCTGCTTGAGCAGCCCCGGGGCGGTCAGATTAGAGTCGGACTGGGCTGGGGCAGATCTGTGTTTACCAGACATTTCTCAAGGCTTGGCTGATGTAACTGCCACCCGCATCAGCCTTCCTTGGGGAGAATGACGACTGTACTTGTTTTTGCCCTCTTGTTAAAAATGCGGAATTATTTCTGTATTTTCAAGTGTCTTTCTTTTCCTTCTGTGCGTATCGCAGAAAAAGCCGGAGCCCTGAAGCTGCGCTGGTCTCTTACCTCCAGGGCAGCCACCAGTTTCCTCTTGCTCCTTGGTCCTCTCTTCTGTCTGTTTGTTTGTTTTTAGTATGTTTAGTTGTGTTTTGCAAACATTTCTGTTCAATGCGTGTTTGAAAAGCAGATCCCCCGCCCCGCGCTCCCTGCGGGCGCCTCCCACCCTCACACCGCTGAGAGCTGCCGAGCCGCGAGCCCGTGAAAAGCGCGACGCCCGCCCAGTCCCCGAGCCGGGTCCCGAGTCCCCGCGTCCCGGATCCGCCGCTATGTCCAGCGAGGAGTTGGCGCGCAAGCTGCAGCGGAGACTGCAGCGCGGGGAAGCTCAGGAGGGCTGCCCGGAGCCCGCATCCCTCGCCGCCGCAGCCCCGGAGCCCGAGCCCGGGACGCCCGCTGCCAGCGCCGACGCCGAGCTGAGCG